ATCGATGTTATTTAATATTAAATTAATAAGTGCACAAAGTGATCTCACTTTATTTATATTATGTGGTTATTATCTTACATGAAAGAATAATTATCTGAATTAATAGGGGTCCACTTTTTCTATTTTATTATACCATATGATAATATTGATAAGAAATAACAATTACATCCAATATTTTTTTCAAGTCTACTCAAACTACTAGGAATAAGGTCTTTCTCAATGGTTAAACCCATGGTTTGAAAAATCGGCAATTACGGTGCGTAATGGCCGTTACGTAAGAATGACGGCGATCGACAATATCGTTACATTCTGATTTAATGGCTAGAAAAATTTTCACACTCGTAATAGGCGTTACAGCAGTGTAATGGACTGTAATGGGCATTATGACAGTATTATATTCCGTTATTCAACCGTAACAATTGTTACACATCAACAACTCTTACTTTTATTACCAGAAAACTAGAAAATATATGAAAGAAGAAGAATAGGGATTAAGAGAAAAAAATGTATAGGCCTGGTCCCTCTTTAGCGACATTAGTTTTTGAGCCTCCTTTGAGATTGATGGACGGCGAAGAAAATGAGGTAAAAGAGATTAATTTTAGGGCTCGGTTATTATGTGTGAAAAGACAAGTTGCTTCTTATTGCGAAACCAAGCGATTTAAGTTGGCCCAAATATAGAAAATGGGTCTAACTTGGGCCAATAAAATTAACAAATATTTTTTTTTCTTGTAGGAATGTATTACCATAATAATAATAAAAAAATTCTTGATAAAATCTCAATCGGCTATGGTTTCAAAATTCTCCCATAAATATTTAAGTGAATTGCATTCAATTAAAAGTCACTAGAAATCTTTTATTAAAAGATAAATTCATAAAATATTATTTATGATACAATAAAAGTGTAATATATCACAAAAAGCCTATATTTTGATAAATTTAGAATTAAAAATGCATAAATTTGTTTTTTGAGAGAGGTGTGATAAAAACAATAAATTCATGTTCTCAATTTCTGTTATTGTTACGTAACACTTGTTTCATCTTTTGTTCATAACACCGTTATTATTACTGTTACGACGACAATTACCGTTATTTAAAACTATAGTTAAAACCACGTGGAGTTAGATTGACTTAAAAAAAACTTTGGGATCGCACAAATCCAAGGTTTGGATCACATAATGGAGGTGGGATAAATGTCGGGTTCGTCAGTTTGTAGTAATGGCAGCCATTAATCTCTCTGACTCAGACAAAAATACCCTACGGTACCCGGGGGATATATTTCCTATCACCAGGATAAAAATGTTTTTTTTACCAATATACCCCCAAAACAGTAAAAAGCTAAGGTCAATGGCCATTTCAGCATTGATTGGTTTAGCCATGTACATGGTGGGGCTCACACACTTCACATGTTATTTACCCAAATGAAGGAGAAGAATAGGGTACAGAAATTTATTTTGGTACTATATCTTCAAATTTTATTATTTTAATAAATATTAGAATAATTTTTGTGAATAATTTTATAACAAACAAATTTAAAAAAAATTTAGGTGATTTATAAATAAGAACAAATTATAAATATACACATCTTAAAATTTAAATTTCAGCAAATATTTGAAGCCAAGTTATATAAAATTTTATCGTTCATGAATATTTCAATCGTCACATAGCTGGTTTGTTTTTAACGAAATCAGAAGTAAGTTAACCGGAGGACTTTCCAAATACTTAGAATAAAAATTTTGTGTAGTTGAACAAAATCTTTTAACGGTACCATCTATTGGCCTAGGCACAGCTTAGGAGGGTACCAAATAATCATGGCCATAGGCATGATGTGACTTGAATTGAAGAGTTCTCCTTTAAGGCAACTGGGCAGTAAGATTGTGGTCATCACGTGGTGACACTGTTTAGTTCCTTGTCTTGTCTAATGAACCCCCACGCCCACCGATGGTGGGTCCTGATTATTTTATGAAAAAAATTGTGTTTATTTAATTTAAGGAGTTGATTTAAGAATTTAATTAATTATAATTATTATATTAAAAGTACGTTATATTTAATATTAGATTTAATTACTTAATTAAGTATCTAATTATAAATTAGTTTTTTATAGCATTTCTTTAATTTTAAACAACGACTCTTTTGCGCCAAAATGTAGATATTAGACATTTGTAAGTTACCAGGCCACTCGGCCCAACCAACAACTGGGCTTGGAGAAAGTGTACGTTTTCTAAGACCGGACAAAGCCCAGACAAAAATAGAATATGCTATTGACAAGGGGGAGTGTCGACCCAGTTCTGCTCTAGGCCAAACCATAGCTTAGTGGTCTGGGTTGATTTGACGATTATTAGGAGAAAGGTCATCTCAAGATAAAAAATATTCATTAATCATTACTCAAATTTTAATTTAAATTAAATTTAAATAAAAATAAACTAAAAATAAGTTTTATTCTTTTATTTAAACTCATATCAAATGAAGGAGACTCAATTTTTTACTCAACTATGGAATAATCAAAATTTATTTTCTTTTAAAGATTTAATGGTTTATATTTTATTTTTTAAAAATTTAAATTTATTTTCTTTTAAATTTAAATTTTTTTCATTGAAGTGTTTTGTATCAAGTCGAGTTATAGTGTATTAGATTAATGATATTGGGACCTATAAAATTAATGTTATTTGTTAATTTAATGATGTGATAATGACATAGGTCAATAATATTATTGTTATTATAATTCTTAGACTTTTTTATTGGGACTCCATTATTCGACATATTATTAAGGCAATAAATTAAACCACAATAACTTATTTACAACACGTGTAGTCATACTAAGAGTTCGATTTTGATTTGAGTGTTTATAATTTTTGCCGAGTGAAATTCGAAAAAAAAAAATCTAAACTCCACAATCAACCTACAACCCCTAACTCTCCCAATCACAAACGAGTCGAATTTCAATATGCTCATTGATAACAATACCAATGCATTCTATACCTTTGTATAGATATAGGCTTTAACAAACCCGACCCGCATAAACCCTTATACCAAGGCTTTAGTTCTAAACCATTTTCTATGAGCGTTAATTTTGGATATGAAATGTTATCAAACACAATTGATTAATACAAATAATAAATAGATCAAATTAGTTTTAAATGCAAATAACTCAACTTTGACATAATAAACACGTGTAAAAAATATTATTAGAGGTAGTTTTTAATTTATGACCTATTATGTGATAGATTTTGATGATGATGAATTTAAGGTTGGACTCCATTTTAGGCCCAAAGCCTCTAATAGGCTCCTCGAGTACAAACCAAGAGTCATTTTGGGTNACGATGATGAATTTAAGGTTGGGCTCCATTTTAGGCCCAAAGCCTCTAATAGGCTCCTCGAGTACAAACCAAGAGTCATTTTGGGTGGCATCTTCCATATCCGGACTGGACCACAATCCTGCTCCATGAAAAGCTCAGGATCAACCAACCCAGACCAAAGCCCAGGTCAAGCCCCAATGAGCTCGGTGATAAGCATTTGCTTGAGAGTTTGAGCTCGGCACCAGGGGATAATGTCTGATAATTCTAACGAACAAATATTCTCTGATAGAGGGATTATCACATATATTCCGTTTAAGGATAGTGGATACAGAGAAAGTCCGATTGACAAACTCTACTACAGGACAAATGAAGCGAAGACCCCAAAATCAGTCAAAAAATGGAGAATTATAGAAACCTTAGTACCAAGGGGTATAAATAAGAGATGAAATCATTGTAAAGAGAGAGAACATCTTAGGCAACCTAAGAAATACTTTGTAAAAGTCTCACATCCGAGCCTTCTACAATCATCACTGCCTTCTTCTTTAAGAAATATAGTCATTAAGAAGTATGAGTCTTTATTATAGTGAATGCAATCTTAGTTTTTCGGTTGAGATGAATCACTTAATTACTGTCTTCATCATCTATAACACACTGAGCACACCCCCAACTACAAACACACACAAAGCCCATCTGGGCCACATTTCATTCTGTTCTGCAATCAGGTAGAAAGATTTTGAGTACCATCAAATTTAATTGAGAAAAAAAATCATCTTGATTTCACAATCCCTAATAGATAAGTCATATAAGAATATATAATACAAAAAAACAATACGATAAAAAAAATACGACATGAAAATAAAAGAGCGAAAGGATGATTCGATTGACATTATATCTCACTTGGTACTATATATAGATTGAGTNATATATAATACAAAAAAATAATACGATAAAAAAAATACGACATGAAAATAAAAGAGCGAAAGGATGATTCGATTGACATTATATCTCACTTGGTACTATATATAGATTGAGTGACCTACTCTTTTATATGGCTCAAAACTTTCTCATTGTGAATCAATGTGAAATTTGTTTGACACCTCAATAATTTCCTTCTTAAACAATGTTTACAATGAATAACTATCACTAATATCTCATCCGACCCAAAGAGTTGAATCCAAACAATGACCTTGGTCTTGACATTGATCCTATTTGTTGGACATAAGTTTTCAACCCAAAAGATACAAATAAAAGATAGAGTAATCAACTCCCTTGTATGATTCCCTCATCACAACTCTCTCATCAATACGAAACTCCTTCCACATTTCAACTCTATTTTTATATAACAAATATGAAAATCCGTCACCCATCTACGATTTAATTGGTTTCTCAGTCTTGTGACCGACTTTGTGCATCAAAAACAGAAACACGTGGCTGGTTCATGGCGAGAGGAACAAAGCAATTATGGTTTCTCAGATTAAAGTAAAGTTTCAGCTCACTACATCGTTAGCCAATAAACTTTAGAACTTCAGAAATATAAAGAGCCCCTCAATCTAGTACCAAAATATGAAAGACTACTGATCTGGCCGGTGCTAAGACTTGTCCGCCACGTTTAAGGCAGAATCCGATACCACCGCCCACTTGCCACGTGTCTTTCTCTCTCCTCTATAAAATGCTTGTTAATTACCATCAAAAGCAAATCCTAACTTTGTCTTCATGCCCATTCTAAATCCAAACTGTTTCCCCACTGCCTCGCGTTTCACTTTACTCTTTTTATGCTTTCCGCAGCCTGCTCTTCTGTGTTTTTCATTCCCAGTTAGTCATCGTTTTGATCAATACACCAACAGCAAGAAAAAAAAAGAGGCAACAAATGAGTCGTTTTTGGACTGTGGTCACTCATGCTCATGCATTTGCTGGGTAAGCAGACTCAATTTCTTGCTCTTGTGTATTTATTGAAGTTATTCAATATGGGTATTTAGTTTGATTTTCATTTGTTTTCGCTATATTGAGTCATAATTTCACCCTTATTTAATCGATATTAACTCAGTTTCCTCCTCTCAACTTCTAATCTGATTTTGCTTTAATCATGTGCACTTGCAGGCCAGTGTTGATGTTATTGTACCCATTGTAAGAAACATTTATATATCTATGAGATTTCCTTTTTTTATTTATTTTTTCTTTTATTTTAAAGCATCATAATGTTTGTGGGTGGTGTGTGATTTGGTATAGATATGCATCGGTGATGGCTATAGAGAGCCCTTCAAAAGTGGATGATCAGCAATGGCTTGCTTATTGGATCTTATATTCATTTCTCACTCTAATGGAGATGCTCCTCCAACCTATCTTAGAATGGTAAGACAAATGTTCTCAATATGTATATATGATAAAATGATAGAATAGTTATTATGTAGAATTAAATGGGTTTAACCCAATGTTGCTCAAATGGTAACGAAAAAGAGTTATAAACTCAGACGTTTGAATATAAACAAATTATCTTTGATCAAGTCAAAAAAAGTATTAGTCAAGTTGATCCAGACACCCACGACCCTTGAACCAGAGGAAAATGGGCTTCATTTGGGGCCTAATATTTTTTTTTTGGTTGTTTTGGATTACAGGATACCAATATGGTACACTGTGAAGCTAGCATTTGTGGCATGGTTGGTTCTACCGCAGTTGAGAGGGGCAGCTTTCATATATGAGAGGTTCGTTAGAGAGAAAATAATCAAGAAGTATGCCGGAGGATTACATCACAATAAGTCTCCAAATGGCAAGGGCAAGAAGAAATTTGTGGATTTCCTTATTCCTAAGAAAGTGAGTTTGCTTCTTCATTACTTAATGACATTGCTGATACAGCAATGGTATGGATCTAATTTGATGATCTGAACCCGATTCAGATCTTCTATATTATAGTTTCGCTCAATATTATATCACATATATCAGTGTGCGACCCCACTTATAAATTTCGGGTCAAATCTATGGTAGGTTATATGGAGTGAAAGTATGATGGATGGGCGAGTTGTCCATTATTAATTTAATCCCATAATTCATAGTAGTAATGAACTGTGAATGCCTTTTTCTCAGGGAGAGCATGAAGCCTATTGAGGAAGGAAGAAGGGCATGACTATTGCTTCTTCTGCCTTGTGTGAATCCTTGTTTTTCTTTTGGGGCTTTGGCTTTCTTTTGTTGATTGTACTGATCTCTTGGCAAATATTGTACTAATCTTTACGTTTTTGTGTAATACTCGAGGACCATTGTAACTTTTTCTGTATCTAAGAAGTGAATCAATCGGTTTTATTGCTTTGGAATTTGAAATCTGGATCGCTTTGTTGTGGATTCGTGGTGTGTCAGTAAAGCAACTGCTAAGGTAAAGTATTTATTAAAAATGATCAAATTCGATGGTTCTATTCCCTAATCTTTTTGACTCAATCTTACAGTAATTCACAATCTTTAATAAAGAATCTTTTTTTTTAGAAAATAAAGAGTGGACATGAAAACTTGGGGTAGTTTAAGTGACAAATTATAACCTAGATCATTTTGATTTTGAGTCTTGATAATTCATGCAGGTTAAATTATGAAGGATTTATATTTCATGAATACTCTAATTTCGATGTGAATAGTCTATTAATTCTAACGTGGATAATTTGTTTTTGATCGAATCGGAGATAAAATTAATTAAAATGTGTGTAAATCAATCTAGAAAACAAAGCGTGGTCATGACATATTGTTTGGTTTGATGTTTTTTTTGAATTGGGGCATGTGGTGAAAGGACCTCAATGTTTGCTTTGATTTGGTAGAAAGTTTGCTTTGATTTGGTAGAAAGTTTGAGACGGTGAGAATTTTGTCAAAAAAGTCACGTGCATCGCGTGAAGGAATATTATGGACAGGCATGTCCTAGCCGGTGCCGCATGGGCTTCGATTAAGGTGAAACCCCAAAGTGCGAGAGAGGTATAGAATGGATAAAAGAGGAAAAGTGGATGAGAATTAAAAAATAGAATAAGTGGGACCAATAAGTAGACATTCAATAGGAATGAAGTTGTTTTATTATATAGTAATATTATTTAGATTTAATGAATTAATATTATTATATTAACAGCGAGTCTCAATTTTATTTGAGACCCGCTATTAAATCAATAATTATGGTACATTAGGTCAATAAAATAAATTTAAATAGTATTTTCTTTTATTATAACTTAGGTGACAAGAATTTTGAACCACAAAAATTCTTTTTATCATTTTTTGTAAAAATTGGAACCATTTTCTCTGGCATATTTTTTTTGAATAATATCATTTAAAAATAATGTATTGTCTACACTCTCTCCTAAATTGATATCATACAAGATAGTTTTTGGGAAATTTCGGTACAATTTTTTACACTTATTTAGGCAAAAATATAACTCAAAATCTTATTTGGGGTAAAGTGCATATTTTTTAAAAATACCAGTATTATCATTCTATAAACAATTGAAACGTAGAATCAATTTGTACTCTTCTGTCTATTATGGCTAAAATCAATTAATGGAAGGTCAAAAAAGGGATTTAATTATCAAAATTCTTATTCTTCGGCATCCTGATTCCATGGCAATGAGATATCCATAGAATGACATACCTTTTTATTTTTTTTATTTTAACCATTGAATATTCCACAAAAAAAGGAGTACTACGATAGCTCCAAAATCCAACTGTTCATCGTCGCCGACATCGTACAGAACCTGTTCAATGTCTTCGGCAACTTCTTCACCGGAAATTTGAGGTGACATTCTATTTTCTTTTTCATTCATTGATTATTTAGTTTTTTTAAAAAAAACCTGTGTAAGTTGATTCAAAAATAAAACCAAATCATAAAACCCTAATTTTGTGAAATTAAATTAAGAATTTGCAAATCTATTATAGCATATGTATATGAAAAAAAAATAATTTGAAACCTGATTTTTTTGATTAAAAAGAGTTACGTAACTATTTTAAGTAATTATTTGAAATTCAAATACAGACTTTGTTTATTCAAAATTTAATGGGTTTAACCGTGTTGCATAACTATTCTTCTGATTTTAAGAATTCAAATCTTATAAATCTGTTATTGACAACTTTTTGGTTCATGATTTTTTTGATTAAAAATATTTACGTAACTGTTTTAATTAATTATTTGGAATTCAACTATAGACAGTTCATATTCAAAATTTTATTGGGACTAACTGTGTTGTATAACTATTCTTCTGATTTTAAAGATTCAATTCTTATAAATCTGTTATTGGCAACTTTATGGTTCATGATTTTTTTGATTAAAAATAGTTATATAACTGTTTTAAGTAACTATTTGGGATTCAAATATAGACAGTTCATATTCAAAATTTAATGGGTTTAACTATGTTGCGTAACTATTTTTATGATTTTAAGGATTCAATTTTTTTTATTTATTTCTTATTTGTGTTGTAACTGTGTTGAATATCTGTTATTGAATCAAGCATAATGTTAACTTTATTTTTGTCTTTATGAATTAATTGTTGTTCACATTCTTAATGGAGGTAAGTCAAAACAGCGACCAAACCAATTCCAATGTGGTACATTTATGGCCATTTCAATGGGTTACCCAATTCAGATTTTGGGTATAGTATCTTATCAACACTCAAACACAAGTAGCAATTCACCCTTTTCAACACACCAACATTGGTGCTGAAATAAATATTTGTGCCTCAAACATGCAATATTGGACAATTCATCTAAGAATTCAATTTTACATTCATAAGAATGCTTTGATCTTTTCATTGCAGTAACAGTTTCTAATTCTATGAAAAAGGCTTAGTAAACAGTGTCAAATGATTCGTAAATAGTGTAAAATGCCTATTGTGGCTAACTTGAGCTCTTTGTATCTGAAAGCTCTTGGGGCTGTAAAAACATTAATACAAATCAATTAATTAATTATCTATGTATTGAGAGAAAAACACAAAACAACAAAAATTTACAAATATACAGGATCTTCCAAAGTAGATATTGGCTGTAAAATTGCACACAATAGCATTTACATTGAAACATAACTCTAATTAAAAAACAGTTACACTCATTAAAAACCAAAACAATTTTTTTCCCGTTCGTCCCAAAAAACGAACAACATATAACAATCTTTGATTAATAATCTGAGAATAAAATAAAACAGTTAATAAACAATGACATATTAACATTTTTTTGAAAACATACATTAATGTCAATATCCAAAAATAGTTAAACCAATTTTAAAAAGAGTTACACCCATTAAACCTAAAGCAGTTTTTTTTCTCATTCATTCCAACAACGATCAAACATACACAAAAATGAACATATGAATTTCCCCAAAAAAATGATCGAATTGTAGAAGAAATATAATTATCTTGCCTATACTAAAAATATTTACACCCATGAGAAACAATTACATCCATTAAGATCAAAACAGTTTTTTTCCCTCCATTCCAACAAAAAATGAACATAAAACAAAAATTGAACATTGAAATTTCCCAAAAAAAATAGAAATATAATTATTGTGGCACCCCAAAATTCGGGATTCTGTTGATTACCCATCAACTTGCGGAATGCCCGTAGATACCGAGTATCTCGATATCTCAACGTTGTGCCCCATTTACCAGGGTTCATCCTTTATTAAAAATTTGGACAGAGTCTCTTTTGTAAGGGGAACTCTACTCAAAACACAACCGGTGCATTATATAATAACAAGACCCATCCGAGGTCCAATATTCAACAATGACCACACTAGGTCCATTTATCCATACTCATACATACATGCAAGACTATATTAAAACTATCCATATAGACTCTAGTACAATTCCTTGACACATTACATGTCAAAATTTAATTACAAGTCTAATTTTACAAAGAAATGGATTGGAAGCCACAAGTCGGCTTTTCTTCCTCCTTAAGTGCCCGAGTGAGTGTCATTCCTCGGCATATGACCCGTACCTGAAATATTTTTCGTATAGGGTGAGCCAACGCCCAATTGAGTATATCTTACAAGGGCTACTCCCCACCTAAGTGCACATGCAATGTTCACATTTGACAGTTCATATTCACATCAACATTCCAAGTAAGAATATGCAACTCTATATTGGAATTCATCATCCCATGCAATGAAATAAGATAGAACTCACTCATGCAACTTTAACTTGAGTCTTCACCAACTCTCACAACACAATGCAACACATGTGTAAAACAACGTCTTTGATGAAACACATCCAAAGATCATTTTGAAATCAACCATATGTCATAAAACCATTTCATTTTTGGATGTTTTCCATCAAATGAATAATTTATATATCAAAATCATGTGTCTTTATTGGGTATCGGAATCAAGAATCGCACCTTAGGCTTCGTACGCCATTACACTTTTCTAAAATTTTACCGTTGGTAAGTGTATGAACCAAGTGGCCGGGTTTTTCACCCGAGAGACTGTCTAGCCCTACTTGTTATACCCGACACAAGTTTTGTTATGCATGTAACCGTGCGACCCAATAGGACATTCAATCCCACTTTTCTGAGCCTACCCTTCAATCATCAAGAATGATGTTTGAATGAACCATGCCCAACTCACACACACCCATACTCGTGCCTAAGCCCATGAATGGGATGCCTCTATGCACTATCCTACAATGTTCAATATGCTATGAATGACATATGAACAATCTCAACATATCCATGGTAAGTTATGTTCTAAACATATAGATATCAAATTTGTCATAATATCAATATAACACACGCATGTATATAAATTGATACTTTTTCATAAAATAATTCCAAGCATGTTATCACTATCTTTATGTCAATAACACACTTAATCACAAAGGCAAATTATAATACACAATAGCCCATGCACTAGCCCACATAACAATCCAAAAAATAGCCCCTAATTGGAGCACAAAACAGTCCGTAAAATGCCTTAAAACAGTCAATGAAATGGTCTTAAAAATAGTTCATGAATGGCCTAAAAATTGCCCATGAAATGACCCTAAAAACAGTCCATGAATGTCCTAAAAACAGTCCATAAAATGGCCAGAAAAATAGTTTATGAATGGCCTAAAAACAGTCACAATATCAGTCCATATTAGGCCATAAAAATAGCCCTTAACAGGCCATAAAAACAGTCCGTAAACAACCCTATAACTGTTCAAAAAATAGCCCACATATAAACCAATTTTACACATTAAAACATGTCCAAAAATAGTCCATTTGGACAGCCCATAAACAGTCATAAGACATCCATAATTTAGCCACAAAACAACCACATAACAGTCATATTTCAGCCACCAAAAATAGCCCCTTAAGGT